GGGGCTTGTTGCATGTGCCCGCCCCCTGGGCTCTTTACTGCCGGAGCTCCGACCGGTCCTGTGTGCTTCTGCAGGAAATGACCCCTGGTTATAAGCATAGAAAGCTGCTTGGAAGGTAGCCTGCAGCTGAGTGGTCAGTGGTCACATGACCAGAGAGGCAGAGAGAGAGTGTGTGACGTAACGTCCTCACAGAGGAGGGAGAGCTTGTACCTGAATAAAACTTGGTCTTAACTTGTGCCCGCTGGGCGTTTTGGGGCGGGGGGGGGGGGGGCTCTGCAACTTACCTGGCTGCTTCTTTCTCTGACTGAGGGCTGGTGGGAGCAGGGGGTGGAGCTTGTTGCATGTGCCCGCCCCCTGGGCTCTTTACTGCCGGAACGCCACTCCTGCAGGAAATGACCCCTGGCCATGTCTATGACAATCCCAGTAGCTGCCTAGGACCAGTGTGGATATAACTGCTCTACTTGCTGGGCCAAAGGGGACTCAGCTGCCGGTGGGGACTTGAGCCCTCAAACCCGGCCCAGCAGAGCTTCCGGAACTGCAGCATCATCACTTGCTGGGGCCTGGCACGGCATCCCTTCCTGTGGAGGGTGCAGTGATCCCTTCGTTCCCTCTGCGTGTGGACAGGGGCTACCAGGGCAATCATGAACCCATCCCCTGTGGGGGGGGAGGAATGTGATTAAGACCCACACAGGCGCTCCATTTTGCTATGCTCTTCCCACTTCTCAGACAGTAGGACGTTCCAAAGATAGTGTTGTTTCCCCTGGCTGGTTCCCTTGGAAGTGGAGGGAGCTGGGGGCTTCCTCCCGCAGACACCCTTGCATGAGATCCCCCGGGGAAGAAGCAAGATCCCGCAGTCCCCGAGGCGCTTCAGCCCAGACTCTCCCTGCTATAGTTCCTGCTTCTTCTATCTGCTGTTTCTTGTACTGAATTTATACCCCGCCTTCTTCCCCAGCAGGGATCCAAAGTGTCTTACATTGTTCTCTTCTCCTCCATCTTATCCTCACAACAACAATCCTGCGAGGTAGGCTGGCACTTTCACACTCATGGGAATAACGCACTTTCAGTGCGGCGGCTCAAGTGGTTAAGACGTTGAACTGCAGACCAGAAGGCCGGTAGTTCAGCAGTTCGAGACCTGAGTGTGCCGCATGACAGAGTGAGCTCCCGTCTCTGGTCTCAGCTCCTGCCAACCTAGCAGTTCGAAAGCAAGAAATTGCAAGTAGATAAATAGGTACCACTTCGGTGGGAAGGTAACAGCGTTCCGTGCGCCTTGGTGTTTAGTCATGCCGGCCACATGACCACGGAAACGTCTTTGGACAGCGCTGCCTCTTCGGCTTGGAACCGGAGATGAGCACCGCAACCCTAGAGTCGGATTCGACTGGCTTTTGAGCAAGGGAAACCTTTACCTTTACCTTACTAGTCCACTTTGCAGCTGGATTTTACTGTGTGACATGGCAAGATCCACTTGCAAATGGTCGCTGAAGTGGGTTGAAACTGCATTATTTCGCATATGTGACAGCGCCCTTAAGAGTGTGTGACTGGCCCAAGGTCACCCAGCAAGCTTCCATGGCAGAGTGAGGATTTGAACCTGGTTTGCCCAGATCTTGGTCTGACACTCTGACCACAATGCTCTGACCATAAATTTGACGAATAAATAAATACCAGGCTGGCTTCCATTCCCACCTAAGCCCTGTGCTGCCTTTACAAAGCTCCCCTCCCCCATTGCACCGCCCCCCCCCCAGGTCCTGATGGCTACTTGGTGAGAGCCCTGACAAAGCAGCGAGAAGCTGGGGATTATTAGGAAGGGGATTGAAAACAAATCAGCCCGTACCTTAATGCCCCTGTATAAATCTATGGTGCGGCCTCATTTGGAATACTGTGTGCAGTTCTGGTCACTGCACCTTAAAAAAGATATTATAGCATTGGAAAAGGTACAGAAAAAGGGGGAACTGAAAGGATTAAGGGGGTGGAACACTTTCCGTACAAAGAAAGGTTAAAGCACTTGGGGCTCTTTAAGCTTGGAGAAATGATGGCCGAGGGGTGACATGATCGAGGTTTACAAAATTATGCATGGGATAGAGCGGGCAGAGAGAGAGGTACTTTTCTCCCTTTCTCACAATACAAGAACTCTGGTGGGCACTCATTGAAATTGATGAGCAGTAGGCTGAGAACAGATAAAAGGAAGGACTTCTACACCCAAAGAGTAAGGAACACGAGGAAAGCACTGCTGCAGAAAATTGTGGCGGCTACATGCATAGACAGCTTCAAGAGGGTACTGGATAAACATATGGAGCAGAGGTCCATCAGTGGCCATTAGCCACAATACTGCGGGGGCTCAAGTGGTTAAGACGCTGAACTGCAGGCAGTGGAAGGTCGGTAGTTCAGCAGTTCGAGACCCGAGTGTGCTGCGTGACGGACTGAGCTCCCCTCTCTAGTTCCAGCTCCTGCCAACCTAGCAGTTCGAAAGCAAGAAATTGCAAGTAGATAAATAGGTACCACTTCACTGGGAAGGTAACAGCGTTCTGTGCGCCTTGGTGTTTAGTCATGCCGGCCACATGACCACGGAAATGTCTTCGGACAGCGCTGGCTCTTCGGCTTTGAAATGGAGATGAGCACCACAACCCTAGAGTCGGAGTCAACTGGCTTTCGAGCCTTTACCTTTTTACACATGGAACACTGTGTCTGGGGCACTGATGCCCTGCATTCTTGGTGCTTGGGGGGCAAGAGTGGGAGGGCTTCTGGAGTTCTGGCCCCGCTAGTGGACTTCCTGATGGCACCTGGGTGTGGGTCACTGTGTGATACCCTGGTGGACTGGATGGGCCACTGGCCTGATCCAACATGGCTTCTCTTATGTCTGGTGCAGTGATGCCCTGCATTCCTGGTGGTTGGGGGGCAAGAGTGGGAAGGCTTCTGGAATTCTGGCCCTGCTGGTGGACCTCCTGATGGCACCTGGGTTTTGGCCACTCTGTGACACGGCGTGTTGGACTGGATGGGCCACCGGCCAGATGCAACATGGCTTCTCTGATGTTCTTATTCAAATACTTTTCGTCATGTTGAACAGTCTGAACCACAGAGATCAGAGACCAAGCCTGTAGTGCAGAGCTATTCACTAGTTCTCTGCAAAGGCCCCTCCCCAATGTTTGTCAAAATATGTTAGAGAAACTCTATTTTTACTTGGACAGGTCGCTGCCCAAAGAGCTGGGGATCTCAATTTCGACAGGATGGGAGGAGAGAGGAAGAAGAAGAGTTAGAAACAGTGTTCCCTCTAAGCTGAGTTAGTGTGAGCTAGCTGACAGTTTTTTAGCCTCCGGCTCACACATTTCTGTCTTAGCTCAGGAAGGATGGCTCCAAAGCAAACTAATTTATGCAGTAGCCGGATCTCTGGCTCACAACTTTAATGCCAGTAGCTCACAAAGTAGAATTGTTGCTCACAAGACTCCATAGCTTAGAGGGAAAGGGAAGATGTAAGCTGAGAAGGAATTGGAACTCGGAGCTCCTCGGTCCTGCAGAAGCATCAGAGCCTCTGGCTAAAGAAATCCCACCGGTTTTACACCTCTGAATGCCAGTTGCTTGGGGGGAGGGGGGATGGGCCTCCGTGTCACGCTGGTAGCAAACAAGATGCTGGAAAGATGCGGGCCCACTTTGTTCTGACCCAGCGGAGCACCTCTGATGGGCCCGGGGGGGAGGGGAGTTGCTTTCCCCCTCGGCGCGCCTTCCTGGGCGGCAGCAGACTGGCAGCGCTCCTGCACAAGCCGGAGCCCGGGCCCTGCGGGCATGTCGCGGGGCTCAGCAGGCGCGCTCTCCCAGGCCGCCCCCCCCGGGCCCCTCCTCCCGCCCTCCCCTCGCTGCAGGGGGCTCTGCCCGCCCCCGCCAGCCTCTGAGTCACTAATTGGGAGCAGATGCCGCCGGGTGGGACGGCGCGGCCCGGCTCCTCGTCCGCCTGCTCGCTTGGCCGCCGGAGAAGGTAGGGGGCACATGGCGCGGCCCGATCCTCGACGGGGCCCCCCGCGCAGAATCCCTTGATGCCTGGCCGCGCGGGACCCCGATTGCGCCCGGGAAGGCGAGATTGCCTCTGGGCATATGCAGAGCGTCGGCAGGGCTTCCCCACCCACTTTGTAGGGTCGGCAAGAGGACGCCCCGGCACCTTTTCCTTGCGAGGGCTAGGCCTCTTCGCCTCTCCTGCCTTCGCTAGGCGGGGGCGGGCATCCCGCAGCCCCCCGCGCCTTCCACCCGGCCGGAGAGTCCTCTGGAATTTCCGGGGATCGGGTTACCGACCGTGCCCGCCTCCTCCAAGCTTCCTGCGAGACGGGACGGGCGGGATGGCGCCGCCGGAGGGAGCACTCCGGCGGCCTCGGCGTTAGATGCGAGGCCCCTCAATGGCTCCCGCGGATCCGGGGGCTCCTCCTCTCCCTCCTAGCGCTGGACTAAGGGCGCCCCGCGAACATGCGGGAGAGCGGCTGAGGCCGGGGTGGGGGTGGGCGCGCTGCCCGTCTGATGCTGCTCATAAACCGCCCGTGTGGTGTAGGGAGCCCGCGTAGCGGCTGGGAGACACGGGTCCAATCCCCGCCGTGCCAAGAACATTGCTGGGTGGCCTTGGGTTAGGCTTTTGTCTCAGCGTAACCTGCCTCGCAGGATTGTCGTGGGGGATAAAGTGGGAGTGGGGGGAACAGAGTTTGCCACCTTGAACCCCTTGGGAAAAGGAGGGGATATAAAGGTAAAGGTTCCCTTGCTCGAAAGCCAGTCGAATCCGACTCTAGGGTTGCGGTGCTCATCTCCGTTTCAAAGCCGAAGAGCCAGCGCTGTCCGAAGACGTTTCCGTGGCCATGTGGCCGGCATGACTAAACACCGAGGCGCACGGAACGCTGTTACCTTCTCACCGAAGTGGTACCTATTTATCTGCTTGCAATTTCTTGCTTTCGAACTGCTAGGTTGGCAGGAGCTGGAACTAGAGACGGGAGCTCACTCCGTCATGCGGCACACTCGGATCTCGAACGAATCTACTAAATGAACGATAAAGTTGCTTTTGGATCAGACTCCGCCCCCCGCAAAGATCCAGAAGCTGCAGTTATGATTTTTGTGGTGCAACAACACCCCTTTGACTTCACGGTGGGGCAACTTGGTTACAGAACGTTCATAAGACTATAATATTTTCCCTTCCACATAAGATCAGCTAGACTGTTTCAGATAGTCGCCCTGCTGGTCTGCGGTAAAACAGCTAGATTTGAATCCAGTAGGACCTTGGAGACCAACAAGATTTTCAGGGTAAGAGCTTTGGAGAGTCGAAACCCCCTTCGTCAGATAAAACATAAACGACAAAGGGCACTTTGACTCCTGGAAGCCTGCACCCTCAAAATCTTGTTGGTCCCTGCTACAAGACTCAAATCTAAATTATCTAGACTGGCATCCTTTTCTCCGGATGTGGCCAGGCGCACTCCCTGTGGTACAGGGGCAAAATTCTCCTGCTGTTACTCCCCCTAGCAAATGGGTATTCAGAGATATACTGCTTCTGAAAATGGAGGTTCGATTTAGTCAGTGTGACTCATTGTTGATGGCCACCATGAATCCCTTTTGAAGACCATTCATATTTGTCCTGCTGAATTGCACGAGGTAATGGTGTGGAGAAGGGCTTCCTTTTGCCTCCCTGTCAAGTTCTAGGGTCAAAGTCTGAATCCGTTGTTGTGGTTATTTTGGTAGTGTTTCCTACTGATTGTGCATCCAGCTAGAGCTGGAGCCAATAGGAGCTTTCTGTCGTGTTCTCCTGAATGACTCCCACACACAGAGCTGTCCTTTGTGTTCAGAGGCACCCTTAAGAACATAAGAACAATGTTGGATCAGGCCAAAGGCCCATCCAGTCCAACACTCTGTGTCACAGAGTGGCCAGAAATACCAGGTGCCATCAGGAGGTCCACCAGTGGGGCCAGGACATTAGAAACCCTCCCACTGTTGACCCCCCCCCCAAGCACCAAGAAGACAGAACATCACTTGCCCCAGAGCCCCTATCTATACCTTGTGGCTAATAGCCACTGATGGACCTCTGCTCCATATGCCTATCTAATTCCCTTTTGAAGCCGTCCATGCTTAGAATAGCTCGTGTGTGTTTGTGTGTGTGTGTGTGTGTGTGTACACTTAAGACAGCAAGATGCATGAGACGGTCCTGGGTATAGACTGCTGGATATGCAGGAATTCCTGCAGCCTTGGAGGGTCAGAAACTGAGGTCTAAATTTCAGGTCAGCATCAGCAGTCGCTATTCATTTTTGTCGTTAAAACCTATTGAGCTCTTTACCTTGCAAGACTCAAATATTTAAGAAGAAAAAGAAGAGTTGTTTTTTATACCCCACTTTCCTCTACCCTCAGGAGTCTCAAAGTGGCTTACAATTGCCTTCCCTTCCTTTCCCCACAACAGACACCCTGTGAAGTAGGTGGGGCTGAGAGAACTCTGAGAGAACTGTGACTGACCCAAGGTTACCCAGCTGGCTGCATGTGGAGGAGTGGGGAAGCAAACCTGTTTCTCCAGATTAGAGTCCTCCACTCTTAACCACTACACCACACGACATCAACTGCGTATGAAAGTTTTTGGATAGCAAACCTGGGGTTGGGGAATGTCGTAACTTTTTCATTTGTATAGAACATCAAAGAATTTTACATAAATTCATGCCAACCATGGTGTTTACGGTGAGAGAGTTATGTTGCCAGAAGAACATAAGAAAGGTCTTGCTGGATAAGACCAGTGGTATAGATAGGGACTATGGGGCAAGTGATGCTCTGTATTCTTGGTGCTTGGGGGGGGGACAGTGGGAGGGCTCCTAGTGTCCTGGCCCCACTGCTGGACCTCCTGATGGCACCTGGTATTTTTGGCCACTGTGTGATGCAGAGTGTTGGACTGGATGAGCCATTGGCCTGATCCAACATTGGCTTCTCTTATGTTCTTATGTCCATCTGTTCCAGCATCCTGTCTCACACAGTGGCCAACCAGTTCCTCTGGAGAGCCAACAATAGGGCATAGAGGCTGAGATCTTTCCCTGATGTTGACTCTGGGATTCAGAGGCTTAGTTCCTCTGAATGTGGAGGTTCCCCTCAGCCACCAAGGCTGGTAGCCACTGGTAGGCCTCTCCTCCGTGAATCTATCTCATCCCCTTTTAAAGCTGTTCATTCCCGTGGCCATCGCTACACCCTCTGGCAGCAAATTCCTTGTTTTTAAGGATTCCATCTGGGAGACGCCCTAGGCAACTAGACTGTTTGAATCCAAGCCCAGTTCCCAGTTTTGGGGAGGGTTTTGAGGCAGAAGTTCCAGGTTTTTCTTGGAGTTCTTGGTAGGGCCATCAGGTGGGTTTCCAAGCTCCCTCTGGGCCAGGTTCAGGCCGGATTGGCTGCGCTTCACCATTTGTTTCAGTGCTGTGACTTTGCCACCAGTGGTGGGGGGTGATGCAAACTCGCCGAGGAAGATTGTCTCTTATGGGACAGCTCTTTGACACCCCAGGTCCCCAGTTGCAAGGGGACTTGCAAGGTGGGAGAGCCAAGAGGACGGGAGACCAGAGCTTGGGCATCAGCAGGTGGATGTTCTTTGAACACCTGAGGGACCGCCTCTCCCCCTATGTGCCCAGAGAGCTTTGCACTTTGCCGATCAAGACCTCCTGGTGGTCCCTGGCCCAAGGGACGTCCACTTAGCCTCCACCAGGGCCAGGTGAAACATTCCCCCGCTGGAGAGCAGGGCCCAGTGGGACTTGCTACTGTTGCACAGGGCCTGTTCCGTCAAGCCTTTGGCTGAGGCAGCGGGCGTCCAATAAAAACTTGGCCTCCCCTGCGTGTCCAATGGCGGCAGCTGGAAGTCTCTGCACAAGGATAAAGAGTGTGCTCTGTTTTAATCTATGCTGTTTTTAAACTGTCTTAGGCCCCGGTCACACAGGCCAGATAACGCGGGGGGGCGGGGAGGCGTGGCTGTTCGCCCCGGAGCAAAATAAAGCACAGTAGCCCGATCACGCGGTTCCCCCAAGTCTCTGTGCTTTGGCTGTTAGCTGGCGATCACATGGCAATGCTGCAGCGTGGCAAAGAAGCGGCCCAGTGCGATTACGCAAGCGTTTCGCATTTGTGTGCATGCGCTTACGAAAAACATCCAGTTTGCAACGGGTGCCAGATGCCACGGGAGACTAGCGCTCCCGCAATCAGACGCCTGCCTGTGCCGTGTGTTTCCTTGCAATGTTCCCTCTAAGCTGTGGAGTCTTGTGAGCAGAAATGCTACTTTGTGAGCTGCTGGCATTAAAGTTGTGAGCAAGCAATTTGGCTACTGCATAAATCAGTTTGCTCTGGAGCCCTCCTTCCTGAGCTAAGGCAAAAATGTGTGAGCTGGTGGCTAAAAAACTGTGAGCTAACTCACACTAACTCAGCTTAGAGGGAACACTGCTTCCTTGGTACTTTTTAACTCTGCATCTTCGGTGGGACACAACTGGTTGGCCACAGGTGTGGTACGCTTCCCAGATGTTGCAGTGTGATCGCGCCCCAAAAATCTCCCCGACATTCGTGCAAATTCTCCGTGTGACCGGGGCTTTGATTGTTTTATACTTATATTTAATATGCATTGAATTTTTTTGATATTTCCAGATATCGCGTTGGTGATCCGCCCTGAGTCCACTTGCGGGGAGGGCAGGATATAGATGTAAATAAATAAACGAAAAAGAAACGGGGTATCATTTAAAAACAAAATGTCCGCTTTGAAATCCCTTTCCACCTCTGCCAACGTTTTTTCTTTCCAGGTATGAACGCCTGAGACGTCTGCAGTCGCCCAGTCATGAGTCTCCTTGCGCCTGTCAGGAGGGATCGGGTCATCGCCGAACTGCCCCCAGTAAGGAGACCGCAGTTCCTGAGGGTTGTGTGGGGCGTGGCGAGACAGGAATGGAAGCGGGGAAACAGCCACAGTTGTGGGGCTAGGATCTTCCTTGTGAGGGGCAAAGGGCGGTTTTGGCATGGGACGGGGACAGCCTGAAGACACGAAGGCTTGGGAGGGCCTTTTTTTGGTGCCTGGAGCTGGGACAAAACCAGGCAATTGCCCAGGGCACCTGCATTCCGGGGACCTCCCCTTTCAGCCATTTCAGTGTCTTGGGGAGAGTTGCAGCTTGTAGGGTGCCCCGGAGGTAGCATGTGAGCCGGGAGTGCCCCCTGCCCCCTGTGGGCCCTCGAAGCTCCATGGCTGCCCAGAGACCTTGTTGTCCAGAAGAAGGGACAACAGACTTGGCAAACGGCCGTGTGCAAATGCAAGCCATCTCCTGGCTGCTTCGTAGTCATTTGACGCACTGTCGTTATGATTTGTGTCTCTTGACCAATTCAGCTGCTTTTTTATTTTTGGACCTCAAGTCACAGCCGACTTCTAGCAACTCAGGCCCCGGTCACACGGGCCGGATATCGCGGGGGAGAGGCGTGAACTGAAGTGTGCGCATGCGCCGTTGGGTGCTTGTGCGCATCCCGTGGAGACTTAGGGGGGAAAAATCCTTTTCCTGACGGGACATGGGTGGGCGTCGGATGCCATGAGCTACCACCGGAAACGTGATCAGACACCCACCCTTGCCCCGCGGTTTCTGGAAACTAGTACCTCGGAGGTACTAGTTTTTTACGGCACATCTTCGGCGGGAAAAACTAATTCCTCGGAGCTACTAGTTTTTTACAGCGCATCTTTGGCGGGAAGCCTTGGGTTCGCCATGGGAGCTCTACGCTTCCCAGATGTTGCGGTGAGATCGCGCCCAGAAAATCCGCCTATCTTCCGTCTCTGTAGCGTGGCTACTGCTCCGTGTGACCGCAGCCCCAGTTGGGTTTCCAAGACAAGAGACGTCCAGAGGTGGTTTGTTATTGTCTGGCTCTGCCTAGCGGCCCTGGGCTTCCTCAGTGGTCTCCCATCCAAGTACTAACCAGGGCCGACCCTGCTTAGCTTCCGAGATCTGATGAGATTCAGGCTAGCCTGGGCCATCCAGGTCAGGGATAGATTAGCTGCAGGGCACTATTATTATTATTACCACGCCCATCCTGCGAACAGGCCCAGGGCGGCTAACAAGAGCGGTGCAATGTACCTAATTGGCATAACCATAAAAATTTCAAATTACATAAAATACATACTAACTCATATCACATACTAAAATAACAGTTGGCAATAACGTGCTCCCAGTGCTAAAAGATTAGATGGCCTGCTCTTCAGATCTAAATCCACGTTGTCCGGTCACCGTCCTTCGAGCAGATAGAGGCCTAGCGATGCATCTGGGCCAGTCCTAGGTTCCAGAAGTTAAATGGAATCATTGATGGTAACGGTAGTGGCGGCTCCTATTTGAAGGCCTGGCGGAAGAGCTCCGTCTTGCAGGCCCTGCGGAACTGTAAAAGGTCCCGCAGGGCCTTGATCTCCTCCAGCAGCTCGTTCCACCAGTAAGTAGCCGCCACAGAAAAGGCCCTGGCCCTGGGCCGTTAAAGAAGGCTGCGCACCTTCTTCCTCCACAGTCCTGCAGGGAATTCTGGTTTGGGCTGAGATCTTTGACTGTGTGTACCCCTAGCCCCCCCCCCCCGGTCCTTGGGAAGGGTGCGGGGCTGCAACAGATGATCTGAGAATGTCCTAATCTCCCCTTGCCCTGTGGTGCTTCCTCCATCCCCCCCCCCCCCGGCGCCCCCA